TATAAACAAGGATTTGTATAGTAAGGAGGATTGGAATCTTACTATACAAATCCTTGCTATAAACATTGCAGAAACTAAGAAAGGAAAAATCAAGAGATCATTTGAACCTTAATCACTTTACAATATTCTAAGTATATGCAAAAGAACGCTCGTACTTAATCATGAACGAAAGGGATTATCTTTCTCTTACAGAGTCATGACACACGCACTTACAACAATAAAATTTAACACAGAAGTAAACTTTTAAAATATTGTTTTTATTGGTATTAACATTAATTTTGTTTTTGACTAAATATATATTGCTTTATATTTAGATTACAGTTATGAGAACTCATTATTCTTCATCCTATAGATACTGCTTACTTATATTTTGGCATTGCACTAGGTCATACGTTTCACCGACTGTTTCCGACGTCTTTACACTAAATCCGTTGGATGTGTACTGATTGATACCTTTGTTTCGGAGAACATGATTTGTTTATTATAAAAAAGGGAGATGTGGTATGATTGCCAATTAGACGACTATCCATCCATTAGTTGTAATTGGCTTTGTACTAGCTTTCTTTTTCTTCATTTTTTTAACAACAAAAATATATTCTTTATTCTTCATATTGCGTGCTCAAACGCCAGTTGAGTATTCCTGTGAAATACTTTCTGAGTGACCAGGAAAATATTCAGAATATAATTTTTAAAAAAAATTACATGAACTTTGACAATAAAAATTATATATTTATTTTTCTATTATATTAATTTCTTTAAATTTATGAAAAATACATTTTGAGAGATCGTTTTGCTTTCATTCACAAACCTTGATAATTCCTTTATAAACAATTCATACACATCTAAGAAATTCAATTTTTTGCTCTGAAACATAGTATGACTAGTAAATGCAAAAACCTAAAACTGTCAAAAAATAGTTAAAACCATAATATCCCTGATCTGATATTTTGTATCCAAATACTATATGTTTTACTGATATTTTGTTTTTAAAATTGAGTTTTGTTAGAAGATGTTCCACTTTCGCCCAGAAATCTTTTAAAAATGAACATGTAATAATGTAAATAATCTTCCTCTTCTAATTTACAAAAATTACACCTGCTATCTTTAGAAATTTTCCATTTAAAAAACAACTGCTTAATAGAAATTATATACTGCAGCAGTTTTCATCTAAGAATTTTCATCTTGTTCTCTCTTAAATTTTTTAAAAATAAAATCATTTACGAATGACATATGTGGCCTGTAATCTAACTTTAAATATCTAGTCCAAATATTAATACCAATTGGCGGTGTATATTTTTTTATCTACTAAACTATTATATAATATTCTATTATAAATATCTTTTCAACACGGTTTGGATTTGTTCATTTTCCCATCTCAGCTTATCCTTACAAATACTGATTTTACTCTTTGTAGAGGTTTCTTTTATTAGAACTTGCTGCCGTTCCTTCGGGATAGAGGATTTTAATATCTTAAACTCTGCAATCCAATTTGATTTATTGTTTAACCTTTCTAAAATAAAAACCTCTGATAACATTTCCTCACGATCCAATATGTCGCTAATATATATCTATCAACTTGTTACCCAGTTTTGAAAGAACAAGCTTTTGTTGCAATATTTAATGTGTCTATTTCCCCAAACAATCTGTTTTCTGATATTTGAAAAATTATCTTTAAATTTTGTTAAACCTCCACCTGTTTTCACCCAACTTGGAATTACTTGCAAATAAAATTCCGGTACTAGCTTTCAATAACTGCCACAGTTTCGATGATCGTATGTAAGTTGTCATTTGCGATAATACACCAGAGGTGGTATGCAAATTATTGAAAGAAGAAGAAGTTGTTTTGTGCCTCGTACCGATCTTTTGAGTTAAGCCAATTGCTACTGATTGTTATAGTCAGTTGTTCTTATGTTGTACTTTTAAACAACTGTACTAGTTTAGGGGGTATATCCTGCTCTACAAGTGAAAACATTGATCATGGAAAGTAAACATTAGGTGCCAATTCGCATTCGCCAATGTCTTATTCGCGGAACAGACGACTGCATTGTGGCTTCATCTTTGACACGGATATATCATGATATTCAACCAAATTTAGAAAAGGTTTTGATACATTAATGCTAGAAATATCCCTGACTGACTTGATAATTTATAAGTTATACATAGATTACGTATATTTTAATATAATATGCAGTAACTACAGACACGGCATAACCAACGAGTATGGAAATAAAAACACCGTAAGATGGAACCAAAGGAACATCATCGTCTCAAAATTGAAAATTAACAATTTTTCGTCCCTCTTTCGTAAATTTACTCCACATATTGGATTTATTGAAAAGTCTGTTTCCTGTCTGCAAATGTCAGCTGTATATAAGTAGGAATTGTTGGTAATCTCAGATATATATAGCTAAGCAAAGACATAAATACCATTTAGTAACGGTAAGTGTTATACATTTTTTTCAATTAAATAGATTTATACGGATCTTAACAGGGCTTGGCCAATAAACTGTGATTCATACCAATACAGTAACAAATATGTTATCAAAGGGGCGCAATTGGTGCCGATTGGAATACCATCACCTGTTGATAAACTGTACATAGATGTTGTAAAGGAGAAATTAATTATTTCATCACTCACAGTGATATCTAACATGTTCCTTTTTATGTTCTCTGTGAGTCAGTCCGTCTGTCCATTCTTTTGTGTGACCAAAATAAACAGTTTTCGGATGATAACTTGAGTATCCCTTGCATGATTGGAATGAAACACACACTGATGGAAAGTATAAGGAAGGGAAAGAAGCTAAGTATCGATTTCTGGTTCCATAGGTTAAAGATTTACGAATCAAAAACATATATATATATCGCAAATCGGATATAAAGCAAAATTATCGGACAAAATAGAAATCGAACAAAAAATGTAAAATTTCGGACAAAAAACAAATCGGACAGAAAGCAAAAGTTGCGGACAAAAGCTAAATTTTCGGACAAAAAAAAATCGGACAAGGGAGACTATCCTTCTGTTTTGCCGTTTTCTGAGTATATGATCCTCGTTACACACTGGTAAAGCTTGGTTTTGAGTAATAACACTGTTCCTCTGTTCACCTTACAGCAGTTTGCAGCTAATTCTGAGATCTTTTCATGTTTCGTTTATTTCCTGTTTTATAGTTTCCCAGTTTGTCTTTCTATATATATAAGGTGATTCACAGTGGTTTTTATATCCATGATAATCATATAGGCTTGGTGTCTATTTCACTGAAGACGATTATGTGGTCTGAAATCCCAGGTATCACTTTTGTGCGAGTGACGCGGGTCACTAGATCCAGCGTATAATAACCACTGGTTGTTACCTCGACCAACTGCACAAGTCCATTGTCAGTCGTTTAGGATGTCGCCTTATAGTGTTTTTTTTCTGACATTGTCAAAAATGGAGTTTGTTTGGTTTGGGATTCTTGTTAAAGAGAGGCGAAAAAAGAAAAAGAAAAAGACCAACAAACAAACAACAGTACAGAAAACACAACATAGAAAACTAAAGACCGAACAACACGAACCCCACCAAAAACTGGGGGTGATCTCAGGTGCTCCGGAAGGGTAAGCAAATCCTACTCCACATGTGACACCCGTCGTGTTGCTCATGTTAGTACAGACCCGATGATAATTCTAATTCGGTAGGTCACATTCGGGGAAAGGGGGACGGGATTGCAGTTACGACAATTGGAACATATCCGCTATCATCTGTGAAACGGATATTCCATAACGGTCAACCAACTCGTGATGGCGTCCTTAAAATGTAAGGAAATACAAGCCCTTGAATATCGTATCAGCTGGGAGATATATACTCCGTATGCAGGCGCTGCTGGAATGTTGCTACATATAAATGGAAAGTTGGGAAGCTAGCTGAAATCATCACGTTCGTCGTTTTGTTTTCAATCGGCCCTCATTGTCAATTTCTAGATGTAAGTCAAGATATGAGGCAGACTTAACTGTTTCTGTTGTATCCTTTATCTCAAGTTCAATTAGATAGATGCGTTCAACATAGTCATCAAATTCTGAGTTATTTAGTGAGAGAACATCATCTATATAGCGGAATGTAAAGTTAAAGGATACTGGCTAACTTCTTTTCTTTAACCAATTCCAGAAATATTACATCACCACCAACTATGATGAAATTTTTTGCTGCACTGGCTCGTTCAAGACTGCATCCGAGAAGTTCTTCAATGTTTACTTCATTTGATGTTTTTGGGTTATAACAAATACAATATTTTTTATTGGTGTTATTTCCAATACAAAAATGGTATCATCTGCCATTTACTAAATATGTATACATCAAAGTACAAATACAAAAACAAAAAAAGGCAAACATACAGACTACATTTTCTTCAAGACACATGTTCTCAATCATGGCGAAGAGACACATAATTTATTTTTATTAGTTTTCTATTGCTGCAGGTTGTTATTCGTGAACCGTATTAAATTAACTACTTCTAGATAGTACAATCAGGTAAACAATATCATATTTCGTAGCAACATGATGTTTGCTTTAAATCTATTACACCGCTTCGTTGAGAAGCAAAATACCGTGATATTTACTATCTTCCAGCTTGACAGAACTTATAGCTAACACAAAGATTTCAAAATCTATCTGTAGTTCAGGTACAGTTGTGCTTAGTTGTTCATTATTTATGGCAGGAGCACCCCAGCTCCTTTCAAATTGCATTAATATTAGCGTGCATATATTCTATCAATACAATGCCTAATCAGTCTATATGTCGGTATTCTTCCAATGTGAAATTTTCCGGAAAGTATGCGTCTTTACCGTATATTGACTTTTTTATTTATGTATTGTCAAACAAGAAATTTTAAAATCTTGAATACTGTTAAAAGAAATCTGAATAAAAAAGATCGAAAAAGATTTTTGCTTTTTGACTAACAAAATAAGAAAAAAATAAGATTTTAATTTTTATCAATGATCAATAACCTTTATGAATCTATTTACTGCAGACTTTAAAAACAAAATGGCACTCGCTGGAGTCTGTGGATTTCAACAAAATGTTTCAAAGAGCCCTTCCATGCTCGGAAACGGAATTTGCGAAAATCTTATAGATGAAGCCATTCATTCGTCACATAACTTTACTATGCCTAGTAATTTTGATGTAAGAAATATTTGATAATAACATAATTTGTTAAAAACCAACACCTTTTGTCAATTTTGCAAAATCACGGTAAAAATGTTAAATGAATGAGAACTTTATTCCAGGTTGGCACACATATATTACATATAAATACGAATTCTAGTTTTATATCGTAAATTAAAACATTTGATTTGCAAACTCGTACCTAGCTAACTCATATTATTGTGAAAATACATGGATGGTACCAGCAGGTTTGGCAGGAATCCATGACAATTGGCCCCATTGCCAAATCACCCAAGACCACCTCTCCTGAACTTTCTACCAACTCACCCTGCTCATGTTAACCAACTAGCCCACTCATGAAAAGGGTTTAAATCCTGCTGAATTTAGACCTTCAAACTCGCCCCACTCATTGAAAAGGGTTGAATCCTGCTGCTGCCTACCAAATTGCCCCAATTATGAAATGTCAGTATAATCCCAATGATTTTAGGCATACCAACTCACCCCTTTATTGAAAAGTAGTTTTAATCCCTATGAATAAAGGTCTGCCAAATTGCCCCTCCGCTGAAACTACGCCTACAACTCGCCCCACTTGTGAAAAGGAGTTTAATCCCTATGAATAAAGGCCTCATATCAAAATAATTAAAAGGAGATTATACAGCTGTATTTTTATACGACCGCAAAAATTAAAAAATTTTTGGTCGTATATTGGTATGACGTTGGCGGCGTCATCGTCGTCCGGCGTCGTCCGAAGACACATTGGTTTTCGCACTCTAACTTTAGTTTAAGTCAATGGATCTCCATGAAATTTTACCATAAGGTTCAAGACCACGAAAGGAAGGTTGGGATTGATTTTGGGGGTTATGGTACCAACAGTTAAGGAAAAAGGGGCCAAAAATAAGCATTTTTGTAACTTCCAGACAATAACTTGTGTGTAAGTGTATGGATCTCTCTGACATTGTACCACAAGGTTCCATATCACAAAGGGAAGGCTGTAATTGATTTTGGGGGTAATTGCCTCAAAATTTTAGGAATTAGGGGCCAAAAAAGGGGCAAAAAACAAGCATTTTTCTAGTTTCATGACAATAACTTGTGTGTAAGTGTTTGGATATTTCTGAAATTGTACTACAAGGTTCCATATCACAAAGGGAAAGCTGGAATTGAGTTTGGGGGTAATTGCCCGAAACGTTTAGGAATTGGGGGCCAAAAAGGGGCCAAAAATAAGCATTTTTTCTAGTTTCCAGACAATAACTTGTGTTCAAGTGTATGGATCTTTCTGAAATTGTACTGCAAGGTACCATACCACAAAGGGAAGGCTGGGATTGAGTTTGGGGGTGATGAATCATAAGGGGTTCAAAAAAATTGGGGGGGGGATTTTTTTTTTTTCTTTTTTATTCTTTTTTTCCTTTTTTTTTCTTTTAAAATTTTCCATTTTAAGTTGGTTATTTCTGATTTATATTTAAAAGCAAATAATAATGATATGGTAGGAGATACACACCAAACAGGATGTGTAAATTATTATATAATAAGTATTGTGCAATAGCAAGAAATTTTCAATTGCACAGTATTGCACAATAGCAAGAAATCTTCAATTGCACAGTATTGCGCAATAGCAAGAAATCTTCAATTGCACAGTATTGCGCAATAGCAAGAAATATCCAATAGCACAATATTGCGCAATAGCAAGAAATTGTCAATTGTACAGTATTGCGCAATAGCAAGAAATATTCAATTGCACAGTATTGTGCAAAAGAAGATACTTCGTATAAATTGCTTATTTCTTGATCAATTTCAATGGGGTTTTATTCTTGAATTCTTGGGGTTCTTTAATATGCTGAATCTAACCGTGTATTAAGTTTTGGATTTTGGGCCCCATTTTTAAATTGGTCCACATTGAGGTCCAAAGGGTCCAAAATTTAACTTTGTTTGATTTCATCAAAAATTTAATTATTGGGGTTCTTTGATATGCCGAATCTAACCGTGTATTTAGATCCTTAATTTTTGGTTCCGTTTTCAAATTGGTCTCCATTAAGGTCCAAAGGGTCCAAAATTAAACTTAGTTTGATTTTAACAAAAATTGAATTTTTAGGGTTCTTTGATATGCTGAATCTAAACATGTATTTAGATTTTTGATTATGGGCCCAGTTTTCAAGTTGGTCCAAATCGGGGTCCAAAATTAAACTTTGTTTGATTTCAACAAAAATTGAATATGTGGGGTTCTTTGATATGCTGAATCTAACCATGTATTTAGATTTTTGATTTTTGGGCCCCGTTATCAACTTTGTCCATATTGAGGTCAAAAGGGTCCAAAATTAAACTTTGTTTGATTTCATCAAAAATTGAATTCTTGGGGTTCTTTGATATGCTGAATCTAACCATGTATTTAGATTTTGGATATTGGACCATAATAGGTGAATGTCCAATTTAAAATTTTTAAGTTCTTAGACCACATTCATTCTGTGTCAGAAACCTATGCTGTGTCAAATATTTAATCACAATCCAAATTCAGAGCTGTATCAAGCTTGAATGTTGTGTCCATACTTTCCCCAACTGTTCAGGGTTCGACCTCTGCGGTCGTATCAAGCTGCGCCCTGCGGAGCATTTTATTAAATAAAGACATCCCAACTCGCCCCACTAATTAAAACTGATGAAAACCTTGGAAAGGCAACTTGTTTTTTTAAATTCTTTGGTGATTTCACTACAAACTGCTCCGAGTCTGAAAAGACCAGTTTTTGTGCTCGACCAGTTAAGTCGAGCACACATTTTACTCGACTAGTCTCGACATTGTCTCGACAGTACTTAACTGTACTTAATTGTACTCGACTAGGTCTCGACTTTACTTAATTAGTCTGATTCAGTACTTGATGATCTTGGTGTAGTCTGAAATGGTCTTGACCAAGGCTCGACCTGTCTCAACCAGTCTCGACTCTGTCTCAACCAGTCTCGACCTGTCTCAACTAGTCTGGACCTTCAAATTTAGTCTTCACTGGTGTAAATCAGCTCATCTAACTAAATTATATAGATCTTACAAAATACCAGTCTATTTGGTAGTTTGATTCATTGCTGTGAAATGAAAGAATTTAATTAATAGGTAAAAAAAAAGATTAAATTCAGATAGGCATCTTTAATTTTTTTATAACTTTTTCAAATCAACTTGGATTTTCTTCAAACTATGAAGCTATCTTAGTAATATATTGATCTTACAGAATCCCAGGTCATTATGTAGTTTTATGTATTGTTGTCAAATTTACGATTTAAATTAATCTAGGTAAAAAAAGTTAGGATTTGCAGTTCGGACAAAATTCAGACAGTACACTTTAATTTTTTTTATAACTTTTTCAAATCAACTAGGATTTTCATCAAACTATACAGCTACCTTGGTAATATATTGATCTTACTGAAACACAGGTCGTTATCAAGGATCCGGAAATTTTTCCAGACAATTTCGGTCATTTTGAGATGTTTGAAAAGTTGGTGCCCCTTTTCAAATTGTCGATATCAACTTGACTATATTTATAGGATCATCGAACATGACGAACTTGTATTGCTGTTTCAACGCATTTACTAAGTAAATGTCTTACCATTACCATGAAGGACAGTTTAGGGAAGGCAACAGTCTAAAATTGAAATGATTTTAATGACTCAAAATGGTTAATTTCTCAGACATTGCTTACGTTTCTTTCGATTTGACAAAAGTTAAAACCGGAAGTTTGCGATATTTTAAAGTACGAATAATTCTGGATTCATTTCCGGGATTTGTTTTGTTTATCAAATTGACAGGAAATCACCAGCTTTTTATGGCTTTTTTATTTTATTACCTTTATAAGTGTTTGAATATAACAGATAGTAGTTGCACTCGTTTAATTTAGCATGAAATCAATTTGCATTTTACGATTAAATATTAAATTTGCTGAAGACAATTTCACGCATGCGTATTACAGAATAAATAAAGCATGTGTTACTCATGAAAAAATACTTTTTTCTACGTAAATTTAGATTTAATTTTTAAATCAGAATTGATGACTGTCTTTGATGAAAAGTAAATAAATAATGAATACACTTGTCAGGGAACTTTAATGTTTTAAAGATATTATTCTGAGCTTGTGATCACTGTCAGGTGTGAATTAAAACCACAGGTAAAAAGTGATTAGCGATCATTAGCCAATGTTTCCCGGAGGCATTGATATAGATATTAGGAGGGCCCTCAGGATTATCAAACTACTGTAGTGGCAGTTTTATTACAGGAAAGTGATTATAAACAAAAACAAGTGATCACAAGTGCAAAATGGCGATTAAGAAATCCGATTTCAAACATTGAGTCAATGAAATGACCGAAATTACTTCTGTAAAAAAATAAAATTTGTCCTAAATCCCAATTACTCGTTTAGGACAAATAGTTTCATCTTAGGACATGACTGGCAAATATGACCGTTTCTGGACCCTTGGTCATTATGTAGTTTGGTGTATTGCTGTCAAATTCAAGAATTAAATTAATCTAGGTAAAAAAGCTAGAATTTGCAGTTAGGACTATATTCAGATAGTACACTTTAATTCTTTTAATAACTTTTTCAAATCAACTTGGATTTTCATCAAACTATACAACTATCTTAGTAATATATTGATCTTACTGAATCCCAGGTTGTTATGTAGTTTGGTGTATTGCTGTTAAATTTAAGATTCAAATTAATCTAGGTAAAAAAAGCTAGGATTTGCAATTTCGGACAAAATTCAGATAGTACATTTTATTTTTTTTTATAACTTTTTCAAATCAACTTGTTTTTTCATCAAACTATACAGCTATCTTAGTAATATATTGATCTCACTAAAACCCAGGTCATTGTGTAGTTTGGTGTATTGCTGTCAAATTTTAAGAATTTAATTAATCTAGATAAAAGAAGCTAGGATATTTGAAATATATCTTTTATTATAATTTGGGATAAAGTATATATGATATAGTTATATAATTTCTTAAATGTTTTATCCCTTTTTTATATATATTATATGAATATATCAAAAAGGGATCAAACTTTAAAGAAATTATTAAAATATTTCTTCCGATTAGTGGTGATGTATATTTAAAGCAATACCTCCTGCTTGGGGAAACTTATTAAAAAGATAACACCTACCAGAGAGTTTTAAATTCTAAATAACATTCATTCAAAATTGCAACATCCTGTTAAACTTAAATCGCAGGGCTTTTTGAATTCACTAGATAAGTAATACACGAGTTTAAGAAAAGTAGGGCTTTCTTTTTACCTGTAAAACTCACTTGTACTGAGGTAATTAAACCATATTAAAGTGGTTCTTGTATGCCATGTCTTTAAATTTGACAAAAATTATTTGGAACACATTTCCTTTTTTAAAAGGTTATCAAGGATTGTTATGAAAGTTCATGATATTAAATTCTTGTTTTAACAAAAAAAGGTGTCTTTTTTTAAATTTCATAACCTTTTTCAAATCAGCTTGGTTTTTTATCAAACTTTTCAGCTATCTTTATTATATATTTATCATGCAAAAAAACAGGTTATTTTGTATATTGGTGTATTACTGTCAAATTTAATGACCTAGTTAATAGGTAAAAAAAGGCTAAAATTTTCAGTTTTGACAAAATTCAGATAGATACCTATAATTTAGATATTTAAATTTGACAGCAATACACCAAACGACATAATGACCTATGATTCAGTAAGATCAATATATTACTAAGGTAACTGTATAGTTTGATGAAAATCCTAGTTGATTTGAAAAAGTTATAAAAAAAATTAAAGTGTACTATCTCTATTTTGACCGAACTGCAAATCCTAGCTTTTTTTACCTAGATTAATTTAATTCTTAAATTTAACAGCAATACACCAAACTTCTTAACAACCTGGGATTCAGTAAGATTAATATATTACCAAGGTAGCTGTATAGTTAGATGAAAATCCAAGTTGATTTGAAAAAGTTATAAAAAAAATTAAAGATGCCTATCTGAATTTAATCATTTTTTTTTTACCTATTAATTAAATTCTTTCATTTCACAGCAATGAATCAAACTAACAAATAAACTGGAATTTTGTAAGATCTTTATTTAATTTAGTTAGATGGGCTGATTTATACCAGTGAAGACTAAATTTGAAGGTCCAGACTAGTCTAGACAGGTCGAGACTGGTTGAGACTGAGTCGAGACTAGTCGAGACTGGTTGAGACAGGTTGAGACTGGTCGAGCCTTGGTCGAGACCATTTCAGACTACACCAAGATCATCAAGTACTGAATCAGACTAATTAAGTAAAGTCGAGACCTAGTCGAGTACAATTAAGTACAGTTAAGTAACTGTCGAGACAATGTCAAGACTAGTCGAGTAAAATGTGTGCTCGACTTTACTGGTCGAGCACAATAACTGGTCTTTTCAGACTGAGCAGTTTGTAGTGTTTGGTAGGCCCAAGTTCAGTGGGTTTAACTCTTTTTCATGAGAGGCTGAATTTGCAGGCCTAAATTCAGTGGGAATTAACTCTTTTTCAATAATGGGGTCAGTTGATATTAAAACAAAAGTGGGGCGAGTCGGTTGTCTCCTGTAACTTTGTTTTGTAATCTTGGGAAAATGCATGTTTTTCAGAAGGTTTTCATTCAAGCAAAGGTAGATTCCTGAAAATTTCCGCACATTTCAGTAATACAATCTTCAGGTGCCAATCATAGACCTCTTGGAGAAAAAATATAAACTTTATCAATTTTACAATTTTATTCCATTCTCAATTTTATTCTAGTATTCCTATATTTGGTGATACATGTATATGTACACATTGCACTTCTACCATTGAGGGATCTTTGATAGATTGCTATTATGAAATATTTCCCAGTACATCCATGTTGACTTAAGAAAAAACAATCTATATGATCATTAATGATTTGAATTTGTATGACTTTTCAATCAAATAGTGTTTGGGATTTCAGAAGTCTAATTAAAATCTTGAGATGTTAATGTGTTGTAAAAGTATTTTTTCAATTTATCCATTGTAGCCTGTAGAAAATTTGAAGCAGTTTACAGACCCTAAAAGTGATGTGAAAATTCAGTTTAATCATGGAACTACAACACTAGCTTTCAAATTCCAACATGGTGTAATTGTAGCTGTTGATTCAAGAGCCACAGCTGGATCATGGATTGGTAAATTGATTCGAAATTAAGTGGAATTTGTATTAATGGGGGTATAATATCTGGATAAAATTAAATGTGTAGTATACATTTTTTTACATCCTTGAGGACAACAACAAAACAACACAGAAAACCAAACATGTATATGCATGCATGTCAACATACATGTATGCATGATATGGTCTTTAACAATAAACAAGTATATATGTCAAGCTCTAAATTGGCTAATGTTTTAAAAAAATTGTGAATCAATTTAACAGAATATCACAGATTTGCCAGAAATACTTCTCTACAAGTTTTTTGTAATCAGCAGCTCCAAGAGTTTTCAACCCAGATCCCTGAAACTTCAGAGGAACATTGCACAAATGTTGAAGTTATGCTTCTGCTATTATGGAATTGTTTTTCTCATTTTTTCAAGGCATGGGAACTTAGTATTTTTTTAAATATTTAAATATTCAGTATAGACCAATCTGCATTGTTTTAATAAGATTATTGTGAGCAACCTGGCCATTTGAGTCTTTGATTTATTTTTCTTAGATCTCAACCTCCTTTTTATTTTCCATCAGTGGAATAACAAAAGGTACATACAAGAAAATTCAGTAACTCTGAACAGGAAAAGCATTTATTAAAAAGTCTAGCTATAATACCTAAATAGTAGATTAAAAAAAAACCCACAGGTACAAGCTTTGAAAGAGAATTCATCAACAATACTAGACTACTGTTAATTAAATTCAGACATTTATGCAATGTTTTTATTATTGTGAAAACTCTGATGGAATAGGCCTCAACAATTATAATAATAAATGCATGCAGAGGATTTACATAAAAACATTAATATATAACAAAAGGAAACCACTGAATGACTTACAAAAGACTAGCACAAGAACATGAATCTATTTTTGGCTGGGTTGGACAAAGTCAAAAACAGGCCTTTAGTATGGTGATGTCATGTTGGAGGGGAAAGTGGGTAAATATTTCATGTCTTTGATGAAAAATATATGTAAGCATAGAACACTTTAAGCTAAGTTTTAGGCAATTACAAACTGTTTGAAAAAAACTAGTGATGTGTCTGTCACAGTGATGTTAACTTTCTTTTGTAGTGGTGACAGTAAGAACTCACTGACCATTTCACAATGGCAATCGCAAAAATTTCATAACTATAATGACTATCATCACTATGAAAGGTTCATGGTGTCACTATATATGTTTTACAGTTGCCATCATGAACTGATTAATCATTGTTAAGAGACTTTGTGACAAATTAAATTATGTAAATAAAACCCAAACAGGAATTTTTCCCAGTCATTTGTTTGTTTCAAGGAGTACACTATAATAAGTAAAACAGAAGTGACATGTATACAATATTTACAAATGATGTAAATATATTGCTGATCAGAAAAAGAAAATTAACTATGGAAATTTAAATCTTCATATTGATCAAACAGTTTCATGTTCAACTGTCCTTTGTTGTTGGGGTCTATTGAGCATGTTGAGTATTGTTACACTAGTCTGTTACTGATACGTAATGCATATTGTGATTTGTATATGACTAAAGATAGATGTTAGCGAGAGCAGAACAACAACACACACACAATTTGTTTTTACTCTTTTACATAGCTTCACAGACAGTAAAGAAAGTAATAGAGATAAATCCTTACCTACTGGGTACCATGGCTGGAGGTGCTGCAGACTGTGCCTACTGGGAACGTGTTCTAGCAAAACATTGCAGGTAAGTCTTAATGCTGACAATTATTCTGTGTAAACGCAACAGTTAGAGTATACTGCTAACAGTTTTTATAGTTTTATAAGTTGCACACAAGACAGCATTAATGGCTGACTTTTACTGCATGGAACACATGGTATCTTAAGCTGACTGATGATATTTACTTCTGACTGAATAGTGTAGATAAAGTTTATTGGTAATTGTTCTTCCCAGGAAATGATCATTTTGATAGATGTACTGACCTTTCAGGATTTTATACTAACTGGATTTTGTTGCATATCCAGGTTTTTTATTTAGTAAGTCATAGAATCATATGAATTTTATTTGTTCTTTGTTATTTAATGTAACAAACATTTATTATTTTTGCTGTACATTCTAAAGGGTATGATTTGAAGGCAGAACTTTTTTTCCAGTTAAGGGCATGGTCATAGGAGTAAAAAGGGATATGGGAATATGTGTACAAGACTACATTCTTAGAAAATATTGAATAATAGGTTGGTATCAAAAGAAAGCACTTTTTGCTGTTTTTGGAAAGTTTACTATAGCTTGCTATAGTAATATACTTTCCTAAGGCATTGGCCTCAAACCAGAAGTAGGACAGACTAACTTACTTCTGGTGTTCTACTCCTAAATAATGTAGCACTAGTGTTTGAATACATTTTTTTTGTACTAATTCTAGGAAGATGCTTTTGAAATTTGGAGTAACTACTTTTTATACGACTGCAAAAAAATTTTGCGGTCGTATATTGGTATGACGTTGGCGTCGTTGTCATCCGAAGACACATTGGTTTTCGCACAATAACTTTAGTTTAAGTGAATGGATCTCTATGAAATTTTACCATAAGGTTCAATACCACAAAAGGAAGGTTGGGATTGATTTTGGGGGTTATGGTACCAACAGTAAAGGAATTAGGGGCCAAAAAGGGGCCAAAAATAAGCATTTTTCTAGTTTCCAGACAATAACTTGTGGAACGGTGTATGGATCTCTCTAAAATTATACCACAAGTTTCCATACCACAAAGGGATGGTTATGATTTGCTTTGGGGGTTATGGCTCAAACCGTTTAGAAAAAAGGGGGAAAAACAAGGGTGTCCTGGTTAATGGACAAATACTTTAGTACAAAACATAATTTAAAGCAGTGTAAGGGAGGAAATTCAAATACATCATTTGAATTACCTCCCTTACACTGCTTTTAAATTATGTATAAAGTAATGGTTAATGAACAATTAAGACAATTTAAAAGTAGTGTAAAGGGGGGGTTAATACGCAACAGCATAGTGTATTGCACAAAAGCAAAAAAATAAGGGGGGTAATTTTTTTTTTTTTTTTGTGGGGGGAGGGGGGTCAATTCGCAACAGCAAAGTGTATTGCACAAAAGCAAAAAATTGAATATTAATTCAAATCATATAACCAATTCTAAGTTCTTTGACTACAGTTATTCTGTGTCAGAAACCTTTTATGTGTCAAATATTTAATTACAATCCAAATTCAGACCTGTATCAAGCGCGAATATTGCGTCCATTTTTGCCCCAACTGTTCAGGGTTGGACCTCTGCAGTCGTATCCAGCTGCGCTCGGCGAAGCAATTTATTTGAAATGGTTACAGCTTGATAAAAATGGACTGAATGTTCACCGACAATTCAAATGAATTCAACTGCAATTTAAAAATGGGTATCACAAACACTACTTCACAGATCTGCCCTGCGCGGAAGATAAAATCAATACAAATCTACATGAGACAGCAGTTTCTACGTTTAATTCATAGAAAATTTAGAGGGCCTGGTATTTATTTCGAGGTGGGTGTTGTTTTTTTCCGCATTTATTCATGAAAAAAAAGTATTCTTATTGTTAAGAATATTGTAATCTTTTCAATTTTTCGTTTGTAAATGGTATTAGGTTTGACCTCTATAAATTATGCATACTTTGAACTGTCAGCTATTTTGTATGTTTATGTTACCTGTATGCTTTCTACGGGATTCCCCAGACATGCGTGAGATCCATACATGTGAACCTCCTGACGGGAGTACAATAATCCCGGTGTCAGGGGTCTCCTTCTGTCCTCCAGTTGAAGAGAAAAAAATCCTGTGTATAAAATATTTCATGAATGAACATTTTCGACGATATCTACAAATGTTATTAAAGACGTAAAAAATGTTGATTACGCAACATGTTTACATTTTAACCACACCGGTGGGTAGTTAACAAGTGATAATAGTTTGATTGAACAATAAACAGGTGACAGGATATTAAATACTCGATAATCATATTGCTTCTGTCTATGTCACACGTCAAGGATGAGTAAAGGTAAATACCGGCTTTGATAGAAAAGTGCATTGTTTTTGTCAAAACATCGATTGGAAGGTTTTTATGCCAAAAAACATTTATAAATTTTCAATTCAGCAAAGAAATACTATTTTTTACATTCCAATGCGGATATAAGGACCTTTAGCTGCTCAAGTGGATCCAAACTGACAGCAGAAAAACATTGACTCAACAATACAAGTAGTTCACAGCCTCCTAAGTGTTAAGATTAACAACCACACAAACTGTTACAAGGATAAGGATTACTTTAGTACAGAGTCAAGTGTATTAAAAGCAGCCAAGTCAGCTTCTACTTCTTAGAATAACCCATTGTGCCAAGACAAGTTCTGAAGAACTTTTTAAAAAAACATTTGTCCATGTAATATAGACAGTGCTTTACCTTATATATTTTATAGTGTTTAAAACAATGAGTCTTAAGTTTTCTAGCAAAATGACTTTCTTAATGCTTAAAAACCATGCATTACTTTGGTTATTGTTTATTTATCACGTTATAAATATGTATAGCAAATAATTTTTTACATATCTATGCCTATGTTTTTCCGTTTGAATGGTTTTACACTAGTAATTTTTTGGGGCCCTTTATAGCTTACTGTTCGGTGTGAACCAAGGCTCCATGTTGAAAACCGTACTGTGACCTATAATGGTTTCCTTTTATAAATTTTGACTTGGATGGAGAGTTGTCTCATTGGCACTCATACCACATCTTCATATATCTATGACATTACATACAAATAAAACAAATGGAGGCATGAATAAAACACTATACTTAAAGAAATTAGCAGAGCTTTCTGTATACTTGATTATTTTAAATTTACAGTTTAAGGTTGCAATAGAAAATATCAAAAGTTTACATGACAAACATATGAAAAAAAAGTGATTTTTGATAATTGCTGATGAGACAATGATTTAGTAAAAAAACATCAAAACTGTGATTAAATACATATTTGAAATAATACACATCTACAACATATTTGAAATAATACACATCTACCATTGCAAAGTTTCCACAGGTGCTATCCAGCACTTTGATTCATCTAGATAGTTACTTGAATGTGGTTAATGAAAGAAGAACTCACACTTTATAACAGGATCAAGATGACCCCTAGCATTAACATGATTAACATAGGGAAAATCATATGACTAACTATGACCAGAACAGCAGGAACACAAATTAGAATTTTTTTCTGAAATAACCAGCTGGTCTCAGGCTAAAATGAGTTCATTAGCCAGTATATAATGTATATCCAGAACTAAGTAGCAATGCAAATGAGACCATTTTTATGGAAGCCATTATCCTAGACTTAAATTTTGGGGCTTTGGCTATTGGACCTCTACAAATCTGCATCCTCCTATAAACCCATGAAGCATATTGTAGCTAGAAGTCATCAATGAATTACATAAATACATTAGATTTTTACCACATACATGTATAATTCCCATTACTCAATTTGACAGTTATACAAATTATTTACAAAAGGTCATGACATAATTTTATCTTATTCTTCAGAATTTATGAATTACGAAACAAAGAAAGAATATCAGTGGCAGCAGCATCTAAATTATTAGCAAATATTGTATATGGTTACAAAGGGATGGGTTTATCTATGGTGAGTGTTTATATAAAAGGTGTACAAATATTGTATACGGTTACAAAGGGATCGGCTTATCTATGGTGATTGTTTTTATAAAAGGTGTACAAATATTGTATACGGTTACAAAGGGATCGGCTTATCTATGGTGAGTGTTTATATAAAAGGTGTACAAATATTGTATACGGTTACAAAGGGATCGTCTTATCTATGGTGAGTGTTTTTATAAAAGGTGTACAAATATTGTATACAGTTACAAAGGAATGGGTTTATCTATGGTGAGTGTTTTTATAATAGGTGAACAAATATTGTATACGGTTACAAAGGGATGGGTTTATCTATGGTGAGTGTTTATATAAAAGGTGTACAAATATTGTATACACTTACAAAGGGATGGGCTTATCTATGGTGAGTGTTTTTATAAAAGGTCTACAAATATTGTATACGGTTACAAAGGGATGGGTTTATCTATGGTGAGTGTTTATATAAAAGGTGTACAAATATTGTATACGGTTACAAAGGGATGGGCTTATCTATGGTGAGTGTTTTTATACGACCGCAAAAAAATTTTTGTGGTCGTATATTGGTATGACGTTGGCGTCGTCGTCGTCGTCCGGCGTCGTCGTCCGAATACACATTAGTTTTCGCACTCTAACTTTAGTTTAAGTGAATGGATCTCATTGAAATTTTACCATAAGGTTCAATACCACAAAAGGAAGGTGGGGATTGATTTTGGGGGTTATGGTACTAACAGTTAAGGAATTAGGGGCCAAAAGGGGCCAAAAATAAGCATTTTTGTAACTTCCAGACATAACTTGTGTGTAAGTGTATGGATCTCTCTGACATTGTACCACAAGGTTCCATATCACAAAGGGAATGCTGGGATTGATTTTGGGGGTAATTGTCTCCAAATTTTAGGAATTAGGGGCCAAAAAGGGGCAAAAAACAAGCATTTTTCTAGTTTCATGACAATAACTTGCTTGTAAGTGTATGGATCTTTATGAAATTGTACTACAAGGTTCCATATCACAAAGGGAAAGCTGGGATTGATTTTGGGAGTAATTGCCCAAAACGTTTAGGAAAAAGGGGCCAAAAATAAGCATTTTTCTAGTTTCAGGACAATAACTTGTGTTCAAGTGTATGGATCTCTCTGAAATTGTACTGCAAGGTACCATACCACAAAGGGAAGGCTGGGATTGATTTTGGGGGTAATTCCCTCAAAATTTTAGGAATTAGGCGCCATAAAGGGGCAAAAAAAAAGCTTTTTTCTAGTTTCAGGACAATAACTTGTGTGTAAGTGTATGGATCTTTATGAAATTGTACTGCAAGGTTCCATATCACAAAGGGAAAGCTGGAATTGAGTTTGGGGGTAATTGCCCTAAACGTTTAGGAATTTGGGGCCAAAAAGGGGCCAAAAAACAAGCATTTTTCTAGTTTCCAGACAATAACTTGTGTTCAAGTGTATGAATCTCTCTGAAATTGTAGTGCAAGGTACCATACCACAAAGGGAAAGCTGGGATTGAGTTTGGGGGCGGTGAATCATAAGGGGGTTCAAAAAATTGGGGGGGGGGGGGGGATTTTTTTTTTCCTTTTTTTTCTTTAACATTTTCCATTTTAAATTGGTTATTTCTGATTTATATATAAAAGCAAATAATAATGATATGGTTTGAATAGGCATACATGTGAACCTCCCGACGGGAGTACAATAATCCCGTTTTCAGGGGTCTCCTCCCGACCTCCCGTTGAAGAGGAAAAAATCCTGTGTATGAAATTTTTCATGAATGAAAAATTTCTGCCCAACATATCATCTCAGGCATCTGGTGTAACTGACATTACCTGAAGTTATATTTTACCTGTAAATCAATTAACATGCATAATTATATGGCTTCACTTGTCAGCTTGGGTGTCAAACATACTGGTAAGCAACGATTTTTACCTCAGGCTAACTGCCGTTGTGTAACAAAAACTGTGTATTTATTGGGTTACTTCCCTTGATTTATCCTGTTTTAAGTTAATTTCCTTTTAATAATGAAAATTTTTAAAAGAATATAAATAAAATATAAATTGAACAAATAATCATAAAAGGATGGTTATTAAATGTTTTAAATGTCTTAGGACAAATAAAAAAATAATAATTTGAAAATTATTTGAGGATTCTATACTTCCTTTTAAGGCTTAAATTGAAATTTATATAATAACTATGACCCTAAATTACAGATAGAATGAATTTCTGAGTTTGCAAATAAAAACTATTTGCAAGAGAAAAAAAAAAAAAATAAAAACTATTTGCAGACAGCTAAAAAAATGTTCTAGTTGCAATGATTGTTTTATAGAATATGAAGTAAAAAATTTAAAGAACATACTGGAAAAAAACAATGTTAGATTGAACATGTAGAATATAAAGATGGAGAAACTTTATAAGTACAAGGGTACTATAAACATAATAAATTGGATGGAAAGTTGAAGAAAACACACTTTAAAAGACCATCTATGGTGAGTGTTTTAATAAAAGGTGTACAAATATTGTATACGGTTACAAAGGGATCGGCTTATCTATGGTGAGTGTTTATATAAAAGGTGTACAAATATTGTATACGGTTACAAAGGGATCGTCTTATCTATGGTGAGTGTTTTTATAAAAGGTGTACAAATATTGTATACAGTTACAAAGGAATGGGTTTATCTATGGTGAGTGTTTTTATAATAGGTGAACAAATATTGTATACGGTTACAAAGGGATGGGTTTATCTATGGTGAGTGTTTATATAAAAGGTGTACAAATATTGTATACACTTACAAAGGGATGGGCTTATCTATGGTGAGTGTTTTTATAAAAGGTCTACAAATATTGTATACGGTTACAAAGGGATGGGTTTATCTATGGTGAGTGTTTATATAAAAGGTGTACAAATATTGTATACGGTTACAAAGGGATGGGCTTATCTATGGTGAGTGTTTTTATAAAAGGTCTACAAATATTGTATATGGTTACAAAGGGATGGGTTTATCTATGGTGAGTGTTTATATAAAAGGTGTACAAATATTGTGTACGGTTACAAAGGGATGGGTTTATCTTTGGTGAGTGTTTTTATAAAAGGTGTACAAATATTGTATACGGTTACAAAGGGATGGGCTTATCTATGGTGAGTGTTTTTATAAAAGGTGTACAAATATTGTATACGGTTATAAAGGGATGGGTTTATCTATGGTGAGTGTTTATATAAAACGTGTACAAATATTGTATACGGTTACAAAGGGATGGGTTTATCTATGGTGAGTGTTTATATAAAACTTGTACAAATATTGTATACGGTTACAAAGGGATGGGTTTATTTATGGTGAGTGTTTTTATAAAAGGTCTACAAATATTGTATACGGTTACAAAGGGATGGGTTTATCTATGGTGAGTGTTTATATAAAAGGTGTACGAATAATCAGAACAGACAATATGCAGCTTACTGTAATAGAAAAGAAAGGATACGGTGTATCTATCCATGACACAAAATCAGTATATGCACAGCAAAAAACATAAAAAGCAAAGGAACAGTGCTTTTATTGCTGTTCTTCATCTCAAATTTACAATGAGGCCTTCAACGCAGAACAAAAAATACTCAACTCTATGCTAGTTTATATTTTAAGTACAAAGGGGAAATAGAAATTACTTAGGACTGTTCCATAAAAACATACATGATCCTAGAGAAGACTGTTCCATGTCTCTACTATGGATGGTTGTCAAACATTGTTTATACAAAAAATATGAGTAAGTGAAATTCTAAAATTACCTCTATAGTATACTGTCGGTGGTCACTGCATTTTCAAAGTGCCTTCCCTTGGTAACATGAAACATGTTTAACCCCACCACCTTTGTTAATCTTGTATGTTTTTTAATTTTAGTTCATTTATATGTTTTGGAGTTTAGTGTGACGTCCATTTTCACTGAACTAGTTCACAATTTTATTTAAGGGTCAGCTGAGGACCGCCTCTGGGTGTGGGATTTTCTCGCTGCGTTGAAGACCCATTGGTGGCCTTTGGCTGTTGTCTGCTCTTTGGTCGGGTTGTTGTCTCTTTGACATATTCCCCATTTCCATTCTCAATTTTATTTAATGGAACAGCTCTAATCCCTTTTGTGTCCAAAAAGTTCAATTGATCACAAACATGCTTAAACAAATTTGTGCAATATTAAAGGTGTATAAAGTGGTAAAACAGTTTAGTCCAGTCAAAATATCCTCACCTTATATACTAAATCAGATGTTGTTTAAAAATTATAAGAGATTATTACTAACGTTTACATATAGATAGCAAAACTGATAAATATTTTACATTTTTAGGGTACCATGATTTGTGGATGGGATAAAAAGGTCAGTATTCTTATTTTCTCTAATTCTTACTCGATTAATCCTTTTCCTGACCTATTGATTATTTTTATTTAATCAATGTTTGGTTCATCTGATCTCAGAACTTCATTGGTCAAAATTCCATTATGACGTAAAATTTTCTTGATTTCCTCTGAATTACCTATTGTGATGTCATGAAAAAAGGCGACCATGCCACGTTACATACAAAGAACACATCTTTTTGCAGATCATTCGAAAAAAAGGAATAAGATTGTGTGTCATCTAAAAATCATTAGAGAGACAGATTCCACCAAAAATCTTGTGCAATATGATATTTATGCACTCTCGACAGTTAAATTTCATATTTTTAAAACGCTTGGCAAGCCTTGCTTTTTATACGCCCGTTTACAGGACGTATTATGGTATACTGTTGTCCGTCGTCAACATGTCGGACATTAACTCAAAATACATCGTCGCCCGAAGACACACTGGTTTCCGGACAATAACTTTAGTTAAAGTGAATGAGATCTCTATGAAATTTTTATACGATCGCAAAAAATTTTTGCGGTCGTATATTGGTATGACGTTGGCGTCGTCGTCGTCGTCCGAAGACACATTGGTTTTCGCACTCTAACTTTAGTTTAAGTGAATGGATCTCTTTGAAATTTTACCATTAGGTTCAATACCACAAAAGGAAGGTGGGGATTGTCTTTGGTGGTTATGGTACCAACAGTTAAGGAATTAGGGGCCAAAAAGGGGCCGAAAATAAGCATTTTCTAGTTTCCAGACAATAACTGTGGAATGGTGTATGGATCTCTCTGAAATTATACTACAAGTTTCCATACCACAAAGGGATGGTTAGGATTTGCTTTGGGGGGGTTATGGCTCAAACCGTTTAGGAATTAGGGGCAAAAAAGGGGGAAAAACAAGGTTGTCCTGGTTAATGGACAAATACTTTAGTACAAAACATAATTTAAAGCAGTGTAAGGGAGATAAATCAAATACATCATTGAAATTATCTCCCTTACACTGCTTTTAAATTATGTATAAAGTAATGGTTAATGAACAATTAAGATGATTTAAAACAGTGTAAGGGAGGTAATCCAAATACAACGTTTTGGTTACTTCTCTTACACTGCTTTTAAATTATGTTTAAAGAAATGCATATTTATAAAGGAAGACCAGTAAAAATATCTGCAAATGTTGCATCTTTTTTTTTTACAAAAATATCCATATGAAAGATTTGACACTATATTTTAAATTCTATTATAAAATAGATTAAGTTAGCACTATGGTAAATTTAAATGGGTAATTATGGTTGCAAACTCCATTGGAAATTTGAATTGAGATTATGACCATATCTTGAGGAAAAGAATTTTTTGGGGGAAAAAAGGGGGGGGGGGGGGGTAAAAAGAAATTGTGGGGGGTCAATTTTTTCTCATTTCAGATTTCAGAAATTAAAAAGAATTATTCTTCAAATATTATTTTTTTTTCAAATTTCAAATATTGAAAAATTTCAAGAAGTAATCTTTAATTGCACAGTATGGCGTATTAGATTTGTAAAATCTTTGACCACATTTATTTATTTGTTATGCCGAATCTAACCGTGTATTTAGATTTTTTAATTTTGGGTCCAGTTTTCAAATTGGTCTACATTAAGGTCCAAAGGATCCAAAATTAAACTTTGTTTGATTTTAACAAAAATTGAATATATGGGGTTCTTTGATATGCTGAATCTAAACATGTATTTAGATTTTTGATTTTTGGCCCAGTTTTCAAGTTGGTCCAAATTGGGGTCCAAAATTAAACTTTGTTTGATTTCAACAAAAATTGAATATATGGGGTTCTTTGATATGCTGAATCTAACCATGTATTTAGATTTTTTATTTGTGGACCCCGCTATCAAATTGGTTCATATTGAGGTCAAAAGGGTTCAAACTTAAACTTCGTTTGATTTCATCAAAAATTGAATTATTGGGGTTCTTTGATATGCCAAATCTAACAGTGTATTTAGATTTTTAATTTTGGGTCCCGTTTTTTAAATTGGTCTACATTAAGGTCCAAAGGGTCCAAAATTAAACTTAGTTTGATTTTAACAAAAATTGAATTCTTGGGGTTCTTTGATATGCTGAATCTAAACATGTGTTTAGATTTTTGGATATGGGCCCAGTTTTCAAGTTGGGGTCCAAAATTAAACTTTGTTTGATTTCAACAAAAATTGAATATATGGGGTTCTTTGATATGCTGAATCTAAACATGTATTTAGATTTTAGATTTTTGGCCCAGTTTTCAAGTTGGTCCAAATTGGGGTCCAAAATTAAACTTTGTTTGATTTCAACAAAAATTGAATATATGGGGTTCTTTGATATGCTGAATCTAACCATGTATTTAGATTTTTTATTTGTGGGCCCGCTATCAAATTGGTTCATATTGAGGTCAAAAGGGTCCAAAATTAAACTTTGTTTTGATTTCATCAAAAATTGAATTATTGGGGTTCTTTGATATGCCAAATCTAACTGTGTTTTTAGATTTTTAATTTTGGGTCCCATTTTTTAAATTGGTCTACATTAAGGTCCAAAGGGTCCAAAATTAAACTTAGTTTGATTTTAACAAAAATTGAATTCTTGGGGTTCTTTGATATGCTGAATCTAAACATGTTTTTAGATTTTTTATTATGGGCCCAGTTTTCAAGTTGGTCAAATTGGGGTCCAAATTAAACTTTTTTTTATTTCAACACAAATTGAATATATTGGGTTCTTTGATATGCTGAATCTAACCATGTATTTAGATTTTTTATTTGTGGGCCCCGCTATCAAATTGGTTCATATTGAGGTCAAAAGGGTCCAAAATTAAACTTTGTTTGATTTCATCAAAAATTGAATTATTGGGGTTCTTTGATATTCCAAATCTAACCGTGTATTTAGATTTTTAATTTTGGGTCCCGTTTTTTAAATTGGTCTACATTAAGGTCCAAAGGGTACAAAATTAAACTTAGTTTGATTTTAACAAAAATTGAATTCTTGGGGTTCTTTGATATGCTGAATCTAAAAATGTGTTTAGATTTTTGATTATGGGCCCAGTTTTCAAGTTTGTCCAAGTTGGGGTCCAAAATTAAACTTTGTTTGATTTCAACAAAAATTGAATATATGGGGTTCTTTGATATGCTGAATCTAACCATGTATTTTGATTTTGGACATTGGACTATAATAGGTAAATTAAAAAAATTCAAGTTCTTAGACCACATTCTTTCTGTGTCAGAAACCTATGCTGTGTCAAATATTTAATCACAATCCAAATTCAGAGCTGTATCAAGCTTGAATGTTGTGTCCATACTTGCCCCAACTGTTCAGGGTTTGACCTCTGCGGTCGTATCAAGCTGCGCCCAGCGAAGCATTTTATTTAAGAAGGTTCAATACCACAAAAGGGAAGGTTGGGATTGATTTTGGGGATGATGGTCCCAACCGTTTAGGAATTAGGGGCCCAAAACAAGCATTTTTCTAGTTTCAGGATAATAACTTGTGTATAGGTAGTTCGATTGCTCTGAAATTGTACCACAATGTTTAATACCACAAGTAGAAGGTTGGGATTCATTTGAGGGGTTATGGGGCCAACAGTTTGGGAATTCAGGGCCAAAAACAAGCATTTTTCTAGTTTCCAGACAATAACTTGTATGTAAGTGTATGGATCTCTCTGACATTGCACCACAAGGTTCCATATAACAAAGGGAAGGCTGTGATTGAGTTTGGGGTTAATTGCCCCAAACATGTAGGAAATAGGGGCCCAAAATGGGCCAAAAACAAGCATTTATCTAGTTTCCAGACAATAACTTGTGTTTAAGTGTATGGATCTCTCTGAAATTGTACTACAATGTTCCATACTACAAAGGAAAGGCTGGGATTGAGTTTTGGGGTTATTGCTCCAAGGGGGGTTTCAAAAAGTTGGGGGGGGGGGGGATTTTTTTTCCAATTTTTTTAAGGGATTCATATTTTTTTTTTTTAATTTTTCAAATTTCGAACAGTATTGCGCAATAGATTTGTAAGATCTTTGACCACATTTATTTTGTGTCAGAATCCTATATTATGTCCAAAATTTGATCACAATCCAAATTCAGACAGTATCAAGCTTGAATATTGTGTCCAAATTTGCCCAAATTGTTCAGGGTTCGACCTCTGTGTGGTCGTATTAGCTTGCGCTTAGCGAAGCATTTTATTATATTTTATGGAAAAAATAATCAGATGTCTGTGAAAATTTGTTAAAGCTAGCTAAATCTGTATGAATGAAAATAATATTTATAAAAGTTACTTATAATAAGAAATTTTCAAAATAGCCTCGTTTCAACATATCTTGTAGAGGTTATTTTGAAAGTTACTTTGTTATGTAATGCCCCTGTTAGGCCCTGTATATCTGATAAGCAATAATTTTGATGTAAAGGTTATAGAAAAAATACAAGCACACATTATCATATCCATGATAATAAAAAAATTGCTTGTACTGAAAAAGCTAAATTTTAACAATAAAAATAGTAATTTTGCAGCCAAGAAAAAAACCAACACAGGAATAGATTCAAATTCTGCTTGTAAAAGTACCTTTGTTTATCATCAGATTTCATTCAAATGAAGGTCAACTTGTATGGATATCATATAACTATGATTTATACCAACAATATTGTCTTTGTAGTTGTGTATGGTGTAAATTTTTGTGCTGTGTAAATTGTTGTCCCATAATGTAAACATGCTTTTGAAGGTTTTTATAAGTGGTGTTTTATTATCTGTAAATGTCTCCTGGTATGTAAATATGCATATTTTTTTTTCTGTTTGTATGGTAATGAATCAAATCCTTGGAGATCCAATGTTTTCTTAGTTCTGATGTAACTCTCTTGATAGCCAAGCTCAAATATAATATCACAATCCACAAAGTCCCCAATGGTGAGTTTTAAGTCAAAAGTAAATTGTAACATGTCAAAATTTTATAAACTCACCATCAGTGAAATTGAGCATTGTAGATCTAAACCAACTCCCAAATAATTTAATTTTAGCATAAGTGTGAAAGGGGGTATCTGTGTGTAAACCAAAACATAGTCCCAATAAATCATACTGGCTCAAAGCAGACAGAACTATCAAATGAATAATATTTATTAATAAAATAAATTCAATAACAAAATATTTTGGTCCCTGAGAAACGCTCAGCATAATTAAGAATTTAGGAGTTCCTGCCGAGCAAGTCAAATTGCAACCTGTAGTGTGAGGAAGAACCTGCCTGCCCAACAATATGCCAGCTGGGAATGTGAAGCGAGGGGTCTCCATGAAGGGGATGAGACTAGGCGTCTCATCTGCAGCCGGGGTGTGCAAGGTCTGCATGGGGGATAAGCCCATGTGGTGCTATTACAAGTAGTAAGTAGCAGGGTCTACCAATGTGGCGCTGGAATAAATTTGATAAAATTTTCCCCGAAATGCTTGGGGATGAATGAAATTTTAGAAATGACAAGGAAAACAAGTAATAAAATAAAAAATATCACTGGTAAAAGCTGAGATGTTCCTCATGTCGTGAACATTATTGAAGGTGTTTGGAAGGGGTTGGTGGGTGGTAAATTGAATTCTAGCACTGTAAAACTGTCAAGTTGAACTTGGTTTGACTGCTTTGAACCAAGAAATTGATTGCACAAAGACCATGCATATGGCTTAACACACAGATTTTGGGTACATCAATCATCTAGTGGGAGGAGACTGACAGTTTATATATACTTATTAAAGTGTAATTATTTTTATGAGACTGAAATTATTCTGCCTTTCATCACACACAGTGAATAATTGTAATATGTATCAGATTAAGAATAGATTAGTATGTCCCCTGTTGAGATTGCAGTGTAACTTCAAAGTGTCAAATTCCAGAGAAATTAATCTCAAGATGTAGCAAATGGTCTGTGTATATGTTAATTAAATGTATCCAAGATGTCAGCATGTTTACTGGAAAGATAAATTATCAAAGTAGGCTGGAAATATTGTTTGTATAAACATTACTTATATTACATGTAAGCATAGATATAATAGCCATAGATAAAGTACTCAGAATATGTCCCACTAAGCCCCATGTAGTTTTCTTTGAAATATCAAAAGCACGGCACTGCGCATAATGGCCTGTGATGTAGATGATATTTGCCGACATCCTCCCAATAGACTAATTACTTATCATAATTATATTTAAATTATCGGGCACTCGTCTTATCAACCAATAATTAATGTGAGTAACCTGTCTCAAGTAAAAATATGCTAGGAGGCGGAAGCAATAAGAAGCGTCTGATTGTAAAAGTTGTTTTGATTGTAATTTATTTGGAGAAAATCTGTCAACAAATGAGAAGGTTATGCTGTTGTCGAAGTAATAAAATAGAGAAATCATGGAAAATGGACTTAACAGGTATATAAAATTGAATTGTCATAGCACTTGCATCGGTTGCCCTTGGGAAATAAGACCTGTATGATTGACAAGAGGAGACATATCGTTTACTGATGGTATGTGTGGTTAAGAGGTCGAACTGAGTCGATTTTTTTTATGGCGATTTAAAGAAAAAAGTTTTTATCGAGATTCAAAATAGTGAAATCCTATGTTATGCCAGAGGGAAGAAATTATTATTTTTTTAGAAAAAAAAAGATTTTTACAAGTGTTGAAACTTTCTGTCGTTACGGTAACACGAAAATAAAAATATAGTTTTGTCCTGTGTCATTTATGGTTTATTTTCCCTTCCTTCTTACAATTGTGCTAGAGGTATTATTCGTACCATAAATAAGCTATATATATATGTATCCCTCTGTAAGTCTACCCGTTCAGTTATCAACGTACTTTTTGTGTACTTTATTTATATCACTTCTTTGGTTTGGTATGAACCCAGTTGTGTATATTTTCGATTACAGTGATTGAATTGCATTATCGTTGATTTACAACGTTCAGTGGCAAATAGTTGATGCATATTCAGGACTAATAAGAACCATGTAAACATCGGTCATTTTTACTTGAATTTTAAGCACGTATATAAGCATTCCAAATAAAATGCCAAGGAATTACACCTTGTATAATGAAAGGTATATACAAAATAAAACTATCAAATAACCTATTTTTAACAAAATAGTTTTACGTTCATATTGAGTAGTCTTGTATAAATACAAAGAGATAATGTGGTAAGTGTCATTTGTACGTATGTATCTCCTTTTTTCTTTCTCGCATTGCTTTACAATAAATTTCAACTTTCAGGAACTACCATGTAAATGATGTACTGGATGATTACGATAACTACTGAAGAATGACATATTACTCTCCCAGTTTACAATTTATTAGATATTAATTGATGGCAATTGCCAATAAAGGCTAATTAACACCAAGTGTGACATGTATATAATAAGAGGGTGATAAAATTTCGGCAAATATCATCTGCTTTTGATGTGGGTTCAGTATACGTACTTTATCTATGGCTATTATATCTATGATATAAGTAACCTAATATTAACTTCATTTCATTTCTTGTCACATTCCCTTCACAATTTTATGAAAGTTTAGCATATTCAAAACCTGAAATAAATTTAATAAGAACTAATTTGCAATCTGTAAAGGGTTTTTGTACAAATATCACCTAATTATTTGTGTTCCTGTATCACACCTTCATTTCTTGTTGAATACCATTAAAGTTGAAAAGGAAGTCTTTTTCTCATCATAACCTTGCATTGGTTTTGATTATTTGAAAAAATAGAAGTGGGAAGTAATTTTTGGGAGGATGAATTACATCTTTTCATTATATAAGGGCATCAGGCAGTAAGCTATCTAAAGTCCTTTCACATATCCTAAAATAACAATTGAAAAATACCACCAGTTCCTTGACATATTTTCAGGGTCCAGGTTTATACTATGTTGACAGTGATGGACAGAGGATGACCAATTCAATCTTCTCTGTGGGATCAGGTTCACTGTATGCCTATGGTGTATTAGACAGTGGTTACAAATGGGACCTAACAGTAGATGAGGCTTTAGATCTTGGAAGGAGAGCTATTTATCATGCCACACACAGAGATGCTTACAGTGGTGGTGTGGTTAATTGTAAGTTAAACATCCTATGCTTTTAAGGAGTACTAGATTAGTTTTATATGCAAGTTGATTTTAACTTTAGTTTACATATATGTGATGTCAACTGTATGGGCTGTCTCGATCTTGCTTTAATAAGAATTGACTGGTACCTAATTACTTCATTACTGAAATCTTCTAGCAACTGTCAAAATTTTTTTGCAATTGCATTAATCAGATCTCAATTTTTTACCAGTAATCAGTGATTCACAATAATAAATGCCCTAATTAATTTTCGAATGTACTTGTATTTTGTGATTATTGATAACACCCTGAATAACAAAAACAGAAAATCTTTTCTTTTATTGGCACATTTTAAGTTTATAATTTGAATGAATTATATTATTGGAATATTGAAGAAAGTTTTTGAGATATTTTAAAACAACATCAATCCTTGTATATGAGCATGTCGGGTTAATTCCAAGGATTTTTCTTTAAAAACTTTTTGAGCAATCAGTGAGATTAAGTCCTATTTTTTTTCCAGTGTACCATATGAAAGAAACGGGATGGGAGTTCATATCTCAGACAGATGTTTTAGATCTACATTACAAATACCAGGAGGAAAAACAAGCCAGGCGATGATCACAGTTGATTGTAGACATTAACATTTTAGCTTTTTGGACTATCCATTTAATGGATATTAAATTGAATACATATGTGCAAATCTTGAGAACATTAAATGACATAAATTTTGTGATACTTACATGTATGAGTCAAAAGTGCTAAAATCATCTTTGTTAAATAAATGTTGAAACTTTCATTCTTAAGTTTACCTTCTATTTATGTCCATGTTAAAAACCATGATATTCAATTTACAATTCTGTGTTGTCATCATGTCTGGTAAAATAGTCTTAAGAAAAGCTGTACAGTCTTGACAACTAGAAGTTCAGTTTATCCCATTCATAAAATAGTTGATTTTTTTGTTTGTCTGGAACCTTGAACATTAACTTATTTCAATGTTTAATCACATCTCAAGAACAACCTCCCCCAAAATTCAACCAGGGACCACAAATGATGTGAAAAAGATCAAGATAAATTTGCCAAGAACAACTACCAGATTGTTTTTTCAGATTGATACAAATCATAAAACAGTTACTTTAAATTGAAATGAATTTTATGTCCTAATCCAGTCAAGTCAGGTACTTAAGTGAAACAGAGGAGTGAAAAAATAATCAATTAAACCAGTACTGCACTTGGAACACTTGTCACAAAACATAAAAAACACTGCAAAAGTGGTTGAGGAAATCAATAAGCCTCATAATCTATTTTATGGATCAGCATCTGATAAACTGACAAAACCATGAAAACTCAACACTGACCAAAAAACCATGAAAATGAGGTCAAGGTTAGATGAACCATGCCAGACAGACATTGTACCTTACAATCAATACTGTAATATGAAGGTTTTACTACATTATCAATAATCACTTATAATATTTGATAAAACAGGCAAATCCATGAGATCGAGGTCAGATGAACCCTGCCAGACAGACATGAACACCTAACGTTCATACCATACACCAAATATAGTTGAGAGGTTGTTTATAGTATCTGATAGATGGACAAACCATAAAAACTTAAATTGGACCAATGAACTATGATGATGAGGTCATGGTCAGAATAAACCTGTCAGACACAATTAAAACATTACTATACTACATTTCATATGCTTTTACAATTGATATAGTTAAAAAGAAGTACATCTTATCTATACTAACAATCTTTCACTATAGTGTGTGATAACATTTTGTGAGGGAATTCGATGTTTGCTATACCATGTTTCATTTCAACACTCTTTATGACAATACCACTATACCAATCAGAATGACATTTTTTGAAGTGTTTTGAGAAATGATTTTAATTTGTATCCATGTATTATTTGTGAAACATTAAATGTTTTAAAACGGAGATTTTTCTGTATAAAGTCAATAATTATGTAGACTTTTGAAGCCCAAACTTTCTATTGCCTTAAATACGCAAATGAAAGATCGGAAAACTATACCAATACAGAATGTTTTTGAAATCATGCAAAACTTTAGGTTGACAAATTTTTATTCGTTATTTCAAAAAATGAACTTAAAATACCTGTCATTTTCTCCCTACCCAGTTTACCCGTATTATTTATTATGATCATCATGTGGACCGGTGTCATATGGTATTTTGAACCCCCTGAAAAGTGAACCCGGGGTCAAAATACCATGCGGTATAATGACCCCAGGGTCATTTTTCCAATATGGTATTTTGAACCCCACCATGGAAAATTGAACCCCCCTGTTTTAGATAAATAGTATTGCAGATTATCTAATTTACAATTTGTTGGCTATGACTTTTTTTTTAAACTGGAGCTATAGTAGGGGGTTCAATATACCATGGCAGGGGGGTCAAAATACCATGGCTAAATAAAATTTTCAAAACATCTTTTCAAGCAAGTAAAATACATACCAACTACTTATTGGAGTATAATTACTATGTGAAAGAGTTATAACAGCTAGAATTTTTAAATTTAAAGGTCTATTGTAGGGGGTTCAATATACCATGGCAGGGGGGTCAAAATACCATGGCAAAGTAAACTTTTCAAGACATCTTTTCATGAAATGTAAAATACATACAAACTACTTATTGGAGTATAGTTACTATGTAAAGGAGTAACAGTAGCTAGAATTTTGAAATTGGAGGTATGAAAGGAGGGGGGGTGTAGTTCAGGGGGGTCAAATTACCATGGCTAAGTAAATTTTCAAAACATCTTTTCAAGCAAGTAAAATACATACCAACTACTAATTGGAGAATAATAACTATGTAAAAGAGTTATAACAGCTAGAATTTTGAAATTGGAGGTGTAAAAGGGGGGGGTTCAATATACCATGGCAGGGGGGTCAAAATACCATGGCTAGATAAAATTTTCAAAACATCTTTTCAAGCAAGTAAAATACACAGCAACTACTTATTGGAGAATAATAACTATGTAAAAGAGTTATCAAAGCTAGAATTTTTAAATTTAAAGGTCTATATAGTAGGGGGATCAAAATATCATGGCAAAGTAAAATTTTCAAAATATCTTTTCATGAAATGTAAAATACATACAAACTACTTATTGGAGTATAGATACTATGTAAAGGAGTAACAGTAGCTAGAATTTTGAAATTGGAGGTGTAAAAAAGGGGGGGGGGGGGTTCAATATTTTGAAAATTTTACTTTGCCATGGTATTTTGACCCCCTGCCATGGTATATTGAACCCCCTACTATAGACCTTTAGTTTCAAAAGTTCTGGCAATTCTAACTCTTGTATATAGTAATAATACTCCAATATGTAGTTTGTATGTATTTAACTTGCTGGAAAAGATATTTTGAAAATTTTACCTTGCCATGGTATTTTGACCCCCCCCTGCCATGGTATATTGAATCCCCTACTATAGACCTTTAATTTCAAAAATTCTAGCAATTCTAACACTTGTATATGGTTATAATACTCCAAAAAGTAGTTTGTATGTATTTTACTTGCTTAAAAAGATGTTTTGAAAATTTAACCTAGCCATGGTATTTTGACCCCCCCCCCCCCCCCTACCATGGTATATTGAAACCCCCCCATTTACACCTTTAATTTCAAAATTCTAGCTATTCTAACTCTGTTACATAGTTATTATACTCAAAAAAGTAGTTTGTATGTATTGCTGGAAAATGTGATTTGAAAATTTTATCTAGCCATGGTATTTTGACCCCCCTACCATGGTATATTGAACCCCCCCCCCCCTTTTTACACCTTTAATTCCAAAATTCTAGCTATTCTAACTCTGTTACATAGTAATTATACTCAAATAAGAAGTTTGTATGTATTGCTGGAAAAGATGTTTTGAAAATTTTATTTACATGTAGCTATGGTATTTTGACCCCCTGCCATGGTATATTGAACCCCCCCCCCCTTTTACACCTCCAATTTCAAAAATTCTAGCTATTCTATCTCTGTTACATAGTAATAACACGTCAATAAGTAGTTTGTATGTATTTAACTTTTTGGAAAAGATATTTTGAAAATTTTACTTTTCCATGGTATTTTGACCCCCTTGCCATAGTTTATTGAACCCCCTGCTACAGACCTTTAGTTTCAAAAGATCTGGCAATTCTAACTCTGTTACATAGTAATAATACTCCAATAAGTAGTTTGTATGTATTTAACTTGCTGGAAAAGATATTTTGAAAATTTTACTTTGCCATGATATTTTGACCCCCCTGCCGTGGTATATTGAACCCCCTACCATAGGCCTTTAATTTCTAAAATTCTAGCAATTCTAACTCTTGTATATAGTAATAATACTCCAATAAGTAGGCTGTATGTGTTTAACATGCTGGAAAAGATGTTTTTAAAGTTTTACTTTTTGAATTTAACTGAGCTATGGTAATTTGACCCCTCCCCCTTTTTTACCATGGAAAATTAAAACTACCTGTATATATATATGTTAAAATATACTTTTCACTTTTTGGTCTTTTGGAAATGTTGTTTGTGCTGTTTTTAGACCCTTCTACCAAGAAATTTGTTTTGCATGCACACGTATAAAAATTGCAGTTTTTATCCAACGCAATCATAGGTTTGAACGTTGTTTTCAATTTAAACTTGTTTATATTTTTTCGTTTGGGCTTGTATTATATTTGCCTTTGGGTTTATATGATCCGTTCATCCTATTTCGACTCTTCAAAATTCAAGAGTCTATCATAAATTGAGGTAAATTATATGGCCTTCCAAATACCGTTTCGATTCCTAACATCACTGAAGAGGTCGAAATCCGGATATGGCATATAAAAGTTTTTGCACCTCATGTTTGCGATTTACCATCTTTTCGCAAGTTTATTGTTTTCTGTTTGGTATTAAAAGTAATAATTAAGATCCATGTAACATCTGGTGATCAATTTATTTGGCAATCGCCAATGGCAGTCAGCAGGGTTTAAGAACATCAGTTGTTCGACCTGTTACTCAAATGCGTTTTGTTAAAATATACTTTTCACTTTTTGGTCTTTTGGAAATGTTGTTTGTGCTGTATTTAGACCCCTCTACCAAGAAATTTGGTTTGCATGCACACATATAAAATTGCTGTTTTTATCCAATGCAATCATAGGTTTGAATGTTGTTTTCAATTTAGACTTGTATATTGAGGTAAATTATATGGCCTTCCAAATACCGTTTCGATTCCTAACATCACCATCTTTTCCGCAAGTTTATTGTTTTCTGTTTGGTATTAAGTTAATATGTAAGATCCATTTTTTACATCTGGTGATCAATTTATATGGCAATCGCCAATGGCAGTCAGCAGGGTTTAAACGTCAGTTGTTCGACCTGTTAGTCAAATGCGTCTTGTTAAAATATACTTTTTCACTTTTGGTCTTTTGGAAAATGTTGTTTGTGCTGTATTTAGACCCCTCTACCAAGAAATTTGTTTTACATGCACACGTATAAAAATTGCGGTTCTTATCCAACGCAATCATAGGTTTGAACGTTGTTTTCAATTTAGACTTGTTTATATATATATATATTTTGATGGAGATCATTATCTGCAAGTTAATGGAACTGCTATGGGCACCAAAATGGCTCCATCATATGCCAACATTTTTATGGGCAAATTAGAAAAACAACTCCTTGAATCTTCCATCGAAAAACCGCTTTCCTGGTTTAGATTTATAGATGATGTGGATATGAAATGGAATAAAAGTGACGAGGATTTAGATACTTTCATCACTCATGGCAACCCAATAGTCTGCGGAACCTGCTGGTGC